TGAATCCTGGTTGCCCACCCTGTGACTTCGGGTAAGTGATTTCATTTTTCTGAGTCTGACTTTGCCCCTCTCTAAAGTGGAAGAGAGCAAAACCTATTTATCGAGGCAAATGGGAGGATTAAATAAAATTATGAATGGGAAATTGATGGGCATGCAACAGGTACTGAATGAACAAGAGTTCCCTCAGCCCATCACCCACGGAATGAAGAAGCAGCTCCCATTTTTATTTTCCCCTATATTTAGTGTGGTGTGTCAGGTGCTACACGGACCTCGTCTGTTTTCCTCACATCGGTCCAGGTGAGGATTGTTATCTCCATTTCACTTTTATTTTTTGCCCCTTGCCCCATCATCCCCATTTTATAGATGAGAAAATGGAGATTTTAAAAAAGGCTAGATCACTTGAGCAAAGTCACAGAGCTAAGGAGTCAGAAGTGTCAGAATTCAGCTGGGCGCGGTGGCTCAAGCCTGTAATCCCAACACTTTGGAAGGCCGAGGTGGGTGGATCACTTGAGGTCAGGAGTTTGAGACCAGCCTGGCCAACATGGTGAAATCCCATCTCTACTAAAAATATAAAAAATTAGCCAGATGTGGTGGCACGTGCCTATACTCCCAGCTACTCAGGAGGCTGAGACAGGAGAATCACTTGAGGCCAGGAAGCAGAGGTTACAGTAAGCCAAGATTGCACCACTGCTCTCCAGTCTGGGTGTCCAGACAAGGCAAGACTCCATCTTAGGAAAAAAAAAAAAAAAAAAAGAAAAGTCAGAATTTGAACATTGGGATTCAAAGGCCCATGGTATCACTACTGCACAAATCCATACTCTGAGAAGGAAATTTCCCTGTTACATCCACATATACCCTCTGAGTCTCATTTGGTTCAAAACAGACTTGGATTACCCTTGGTCTATTAATGATGCATACCCCCATGTCAGAGAGAGGCCCAAATCCAGGCCCCCTGTGCCCTTTGCATTTAGTCTCAGCACCTGTTGCTAAGTCTCACCCAGACACCCAGCCCTATATCTCTGTCGCCCTCAGACCTACGTCCTGAGCCTTTGTTAAATGACTCATCTTCTAGCTCATGATCACACCTGAGAACTGGCATCTGACAATCTTGCCAGCTGTGCCCTTCCCTGAGGGATTCTGAACACTGTGACCCTCGTACCTCCTGACTCAGCCCATGGGTTCTGATGGCCCATTGTTTCATACTTCATGGATTCTCCTCCTCCTTTTATCTTTTCTTTCTTTCTTTCTTTTTTTTTTTTTGAGACAGAGTCTCACTCTGTCACCCAGGCTGGAGTGCAGTGGTGCGACCTTGGCTCACTGCAACCTCCGCCTCCCGGCAGAACCCCATTTCTTTTGGGGGAGATGCCGCCTTATTTCTTATAGTCATGGTGAAACTGTCAATTATAGTTCTCCAACTCCACCCAACCACTGAGGTGGAGAAATGACCCAGGCCAAGCCAACAAGATTAGTGTTTTCTCTCTGGCAACAATGACAGATTCAAGGGGTTGGCCCAGTTCAAACTGGACCAATTAGAGTTCCTCCCTGGGATTAATATCAAGATGCCAAGAGAAAGGAGATTTTCGTTTCTGTTAGTAGCTGCTATGTTCCCTCCATGCCCCTCCTTACTACCTAAGATTGAATAAATCAATCACCAAGTCTTTTCAGGCTTATATTCCATTGGAGACATTAAAGTTCTCCTTGACCAGCCTGGGCAACATGGTAGAGTCCTAGCTCTACTGAAAAAAAAAAACAATAGCTGGGCGTGGTGGCACATGCCTGTGGTCCCAGCTACTCAGGAGGCTGAGGTGGGAGGATGGCTGAAACCCAGGAGGTAGAAACTGCCTTAAGCATTGTTTGTGCAATGCTCACTGTACTCTAACCTGGGCAACAGAGTAAGACCTTGTCTCAAAATAGAAAAAAATCTCCTGGGCATTGGATGATACTAAGAAAGTATCAACTGTGTAAGGTGTGATAATGGAAGTTGGTTATGTTTAAAACGAGTCTCTTTTGGAACAAGGATTGGCAAATTTTTAAAATAAAGGGCCAGACAGTAAATACTTTAGCCTATGTGGACTAAGAGAGAAAAATGGAAGCTACTATGTAGATATTTAATAGCAAGAGAGAAAAAAATTCACAATTTTTAATTGATGAAATTCAAAATGTAGTAATGATAATTTAGTACAAATTTTTTTGTTACTATTCCTTATCAAGCTCATGCCTGTAATCCCAGCACTTTGGGAGGCCGAGGTGGACGGATCATCTGAGGTCGGGAGTTCAAGATCAGCCTGACCAACTAGAGAAACCCTGTCTCTACTAAAAATACAAAACATTTTAGCTGGGCGTGATGGTGCATGCTTGTAATCCCAGCTACTCAGAAGGTTGAGGCAGGAGAATTGCTTGAGTCCAGGAGGCAGAGGTTGAAGTGAGCTGAGATCACGCCATTGCACTCTAGCCTGGGCAACAAGAGCGAAACTCTGTCTCAAAAAATTAAAAAAAAGTATTTTTGGAGCAGGGAAATTGGTCCAACAGCTGTAATTTGCCATCCCCTGTATTAAAAATGCATACTAAAATATTTAAGAATGAGATGATGTGATGACTGAGATTTGCTTCAAAATATTCTGGCATTAGGGAAGTGTGTGGTGGGAGTATAGGTGAAACAAGAATTGGTTTTGCATTAACTTTTTTTTTTTCTTTTTTCTTTTTTTTTTTTTTTTTTTTTGAGACAGGGTCTCACTCCATTACCCAAGCTGGAGTGCAGTGGTACAATCATAGCTCATTGCAGTCTCAACCTCTCAGGCTCAAGTGATCCTCCCACCTCAGCCTCCTGAGTAGCTGGGACCACAGATGCATGCCACCATGCACGGCTAATTTTTTAATCTTTTGTAGAGACCAGAGCCTCCCTATGTTGCCCAGGCTGGTCTTGAACTCCTGGGCTCAAGCAATCCTCGTGCCTCAGCCTTTCAAAGTGCTGGGGTTGCAGGAGCCACTGCACCAGACCTTGCATTCATTATCGAAGCTGGATGGTGGTATATGAAGATACATTATGTTATTCTATTTTACATATGTTTGAAATTTTCCACAATAAAAATTATAAAACAATTCTTTGAGTGGAGATGTCCACCCAGAAATGCATCCCTGGCATCAGAAGTTTAATGCCATGCTTGAAAGGCTTCCTCAGAATTTCTGGTATGGGGGAACTGTCATAAAGCATCAGGGAGATTGATGAATGCAAGGTATCTCACACACCCAGGCCCCTTGTGGGGCACTGCCTTCTCATAGCACTAAGTGGCCATGTTTCATATCACATGACTCCAGGCAGCCACTGATTGGCTAAGATTTGGTCACCTGACTGGGATGCGATCAAATGATTGGCCATTCAGTGACCAATGATATGGCTGAAGAAGAAAAGGTGAGCGAGACGGATCATATTCTCTTTCCTGAGACTATTATCTGAGAGATCCTAGTGAAAGAGGAGGCGGGGTTTGACTCTGGACTAGATTGAAGACTGCTGGAACAGGGAAAAGGCATCAAAAGCACCTCTCCATAAGATGTGCCCACCAGCACCATGACAGTTTACCATTGCCATGACAACACCCAGAATTTACCAGCCCTTTTCTAGAAATTGCTGAATAACCCAACCCTTAAATTGCATGTAATTGAAAATGGGACTAAATATGACTACAGAACTGGCCCTGAGTTGCTACTTTGTGCTCAATGCCTATGGGGTAGCCCTGCTCTGCAAGGAGCAGTGCCTCTGCTACTGTGCAGTACTGTTTCAAGAAAAGTCACTAACATCACTGGGTTGCCCTTGAATTATTTGCTGGGCAAAGCCAGGAACCCTCCCTGGCTGAGCTCCAGTTTTGGGCTCACCTGACCTGCACCACTAGGAGAGTGACTATTTATATCCTTATAATAACTACTTCCTCCACACTCGTCTTTCCCTAAAACAAGTTATGTTAAGCCTTTGCTTTAATGAAAACTTCCCAAAATGCCCTTTCAATTTGCACACACCACTCATTTCCTTCTACCACAGCAGACACCACCAGATGGCTCTAGGCTGTGAGAAAGAGTTCTATCTGGACTTTTGGGAGCTCTCAAGATTTTTGACCCGAGTGGTGGTTTCATGGTTGTTCATTTGTGAATATTTAAGCTCTTCATATATTTTCTGCACTCTTTTCTATGCATATCTCACAATTTTTTCTCTTTCCTTTTTTGTTATTATTTTTTAAATAAAATAGAGGTGAGGTCTTACATTGTTGCCCAGGCTGGTCTTGAACTCCTGGGCTCCAGTGATCCTCCCACCTCAGCCTGTGAAAGTACTGGGATTACAAGCATGAGCCACCATAGCTGGCACTATTATTATTATTATTATTATTATTATTATTATTATTATTATTTTGAGACCGAGTCTCGCTCTTGTCACCCAGTCTGGGGTACAATGGCATAATCCCCGGCCCACTGCAACCTCTGCCTCCTGGGTTCAAGCGATTCTTCTGCCTCAGCCTCCTGAGTTAGCTGGGTTTACAGACACCCACCACCAAACCTGGCCCATTTTTGTATTTTTAGTAGAGACGGGGTTTTGCCATGTTGACCAGGCTGGTCTCGATCTCCTAACCTCAGGTGATCCACCCGCCTTGGCCTCCCAAAGTGTTGGAATTACAGACTTGAGCCACCGCGCCTGGTCAATTATTTTTTTATACGTGGAAAATTTTACCTCTAAAGCTTGTGAACACTTTGCCCAGGAAAACTAAACACAAACTCTTTCAAAACTGTCTTTCACATACCAACCCACTGAATGTTTGAAAACCTGTGTTTTCTCCCGTGAAATAAAGCTCTTACCCAAGTTCTTCCGGGAAAATGAGGGATCACTTTAGGCAGTGGTGATGGCCAAAGTAACCATGAGAACTTGGTCTCTGCAGATCCCCACCTAGCCTGCCAGCAGGAACAACCCCAGATCCCCATCCAGCCCTCCCCGCAGGGCCAAAACACAGACAGGCAAGGAACCAGAGATGGCTGGTTTTATTAAGGGAGATCTAGTGCTTATCCTAGAATCAGCCCTTGCTGCCTATGGTCTTCTTGATCCAGTCCAGGTAGCGGCAGATGTTGGTATAGACACCAGGTCTGTCGGACCTCCCACAGGGGTCTGAGCCCCAGGATGTGATGCCCTGGAGTGCACCATTACACACCAGGGGGCCTCCAGAATCGCCCTAGACAGGGAGAATGAGAACAGGGTTGCATCTGAGATGTCCACAACATCCCTTTTCCTGCTGTGCCAGCGTTTTACCAGTTCTTTAGCATGACTGGTCCCCTGTAGCCAATGGGGATAAAAGCATTGTCACCTGAGACCAGTCAGGACAGGGCGTGGGGCTTCCATGTACAGACAGACATGGTGTCTAAGGGTAGTGGTCAAAACACTGACAGAAGAGGGGAAAGAATGAAATCCCAACCAGTCTTGGTGGCTCACGCCTGCAATCCCAGCATTTTGGGAGGCCGAGGCAGGTGGATCACTTGAAATCAGGAGTTCCAGACCAGCCTGGCCAACATGGTGAAACCCTGTCTCTACTAAAAATACAAAAATCAGCTGGGTGTGGTGGTGCACACCTGTAATCACAGCTACTCGGGAGGCTGAGGTGGGAGAATTGCTTGAACCCGGGAGGCAGAGGCTGCAGTGAGCCAAGATTGTGCCACTGCACTCCAGCTTGGGGGACAGAGCGAGACTCTGTCTCAAAAAAAAAAAAAAAAAAAAAAAAAAAAGAAAGTTCTCGAGGGTCCAATCCAGGGAGAAGACAGTAGGGATTACATGTAGAGGACCGAGCTTAAGTTTCCTCCATTCCTGGTCAATAGTGAAGGCATCATTGATTGCAGTTGCCAAACACAGGAGAAAGGATCAAGATTCTTGTGAACACACACACACACACACACACACCCCATATCCCCAAGGGACAATGGCTGAAATCTTTGTGGAAGACACCACTGTCTCTATAGAACAATCCAGAAAGACTAGCTTTCATGGCAGTATCGCTGATGGAAATGACTCCATTCTTGGCCAATGGGGAAGAAAGCATTGTCTTTAGGGACCAATCATTGACAAAGGCGGTGGGGCTTCCAGGAAGGGGACAAAGCCAGGGGTAAGTGCTAGGAACAACGAAGTTGCAGTTAGGAGAGTTACATCTATAATCAATCCCAAGAGAAAGGGATGGGAGCTTATTGAGGAGGCACTGAAGTCAATGGCACCATTTCCCCCAGCCAACTGGGAAGACACCATTGTCTCCCAAGGAACCAATCACGGAAGGGAACCAGCCTTGGGATTCTAGCCTGGTCTCAAAGAAAAGTGGCTGATCACCTGGCCAGTGGTAAAGTCGGCACAAATTCCATGATGTAATGCTGGGAACGAGAGCAGGGAACTCACCTCACCTCTAGCCTCAGACTCTCTCCTTCCTGGACATCTACCCCACCCTCTATAGCCCCCAGCTCTGCACCCTGTCCTGTAGGTAAGGGTTCGAAAGAAAACAGTAGCAATTAAATCCTTCTAACCCCTATGCGGTGTGACTTTCAGAGAAAGTTTGGCCTTCTCTGAACCTGGCTCCCACTCCGTAGAGATAGGGGCAACCACTCCGGGTGCTAAGTCTTTGGGGTCACTCCCCTTACCACCCCCACCCCCATCCAAGCCTTGAACCTCTAGAGGGCCATGAGGGATGAGTGAGGAGGAGGATCTCAGAAATCGCTCACCTGGCACGTGTCAGCCCCTTTGCTGCTGCCTGCACAGACCATGCCGTCTGTGATCTGCCCTGGGTAGGCATCCTCACACTTCTTCTGGGGAAAGATTTTTACTTCTGCACAGTTGAGAGTGTCAGGAAAATTCTCTGAGGGGGAAGAGGTTGTAAGATTCCCTGAGAGAGCAGCCGTTTGCCTTCATCCCTGTCTGGATCGAACCCCCTTTCTTTCCAGGATGTAATGGGGGAGTTTTCCAGCTGCCTGGGGGAATTTTCTGACACTTGCACAGGGGACCTCACTTCTCACCACATGAAACAAAGCTGTACTCACTGCTATTGGGCTTTCTCCATCTAGAGAGGAGCTCTTGGATCTCACATGTTTTTTCTTGCCCTGAGCCAATTTCAAATCAAGGGGCAGGGGGGTTACTTGGAGGCACCCCTTGATGATACCTCTGAGTATCATCCAGTCTTCCTGCCGTCAGACAGCCAGGTCCTCCATCTGTGCTAAATTCTGCTCCTTCCAAATGTCACCTCCTCCTGGAAGCCTTCCCTGATCACTCAAATTAAAAAATACCATCCCTGCATTACTCCCTATCTTTTTACGCTCCACAATATTTCCTTACAGCACTTAACTCTACCTAATATTTTATGTGTATTTGTTTATTGTCTGTTTCTCCTACCTAGCTTGCAACTCCATAATGACAAGAACTTTGTACAGTTTGCTTATGGCTATATAGCCAGTGCTTGCAACAGCACCTGGGGCGTAATAGGTGCTCAATAAACAAGAGTTGAATTAATGATTGAAAGTGGAATTGATCTTTTTTATTAACCTCTTTTGAGGAATAGACTTCTTCAAAGCCTCTCTGAGGGGGAAAACCTTCCATCTGGCATCTCTATGTGCCAAATGCAATATGCTCATAATCTCATTTAATCCTCCCAACAGCGCTTTGAAGGAGGGATGCATTCATTCATTTCATTATTTCTTGATCCAGCCATCCATTCCACAAATATTTATTGAGCATCTACCATGTAGCAGGCACCATTCTGAGCACCAGAACACAATGAAGAAAACTGATGGAACCTGAACCCTCACGTAGCTAAAAAACTCTATTGGTTAGTGATTCCCATTTTGCAGATGAGGAAAGTGAGGCTCAGAGACGGAAAGGAATTTGCCCAGGGAGAAGGGGCAGAGCGATAGTTTGAACTGATCCACTTGATTTGCGAGCATGTGTGTTTCTACAGCAGCAAACTGTCTCATCGGAAGCATTCAGAGCAGGAGCGAGGCAGGCAGGGACCCGAATGCCAATTTTGCCACTTCCTGGAGAAGCTCCTTGACTCTCTGAGCGGAGTCCCAATGTTTTCACTGTGAAGGAAGACGAGGGGCTGTCTGGATTCTGGAGTCTCAAAGGGACAGCTTCATTGGAGGTCCAGACTCTGGGGTCCAGAGTCAAGAGGGAGCTAGGACTGCTGGATCCTGGGAGAAGAAGGGCCTAGAATCCTGGTTCTGAGGGAAGAGGGGACTAGGGCCCAGGTTTCCTGGGTTCAAGAAGGAGAAAAAGGCCGGGGGCAGTGGCTCATGCTTGTAATCCCAGCACTTTGGTAGGCCGAGGCAGACGGATCACTTGAGGTCAGGAGTTTGAGACCAACCTGGCCAACATAGCGAAACCCTATCTCTATAGCAAATACAAAAATTAGCTGGGCTTGGTGGCGGGTGCCTATAATCCCAGCTACTCGGGAGGCTGAGGCACGAGAATCACTTGAACCCGGGAGGCGGAGATTGTAGTGAGCTGAGATCATGCCACTGCACTCCAGCCTGGGCAATTGAGTGAAACTGTCTCCCCCAGCAAAAAAAAAAAAAAAAAAAAAAAGGAGGAGGGTCGGGGGGAAGGTGCTTAGGAGCCTCTTTTCCTGGGCCTCTGAGAAGTCCAAATATCCCAAGTGTGTTAAGATTATATAAAATCCTATACAACCAAAGTTCTCATAGGATAGCGCTCTCCGCCATAAAGGAGGCTTTTCTGGCCTGCTTAGCAATCTGCTAGTTGGTTCTCTTTCTCTCACCACTCTTGTTAGTAGTCTGGTCTTCGAGGCTTCTAATATGACTCCTGCTTGTGAATCTCAACATCATGATCACTTTCCCTTCCTTGTCTCCCTCTGGGGGACCAAGCTTTGCTAATAGCTTGGGGTCCACTGAGCCAACCAGATCCTCCTCTCCCTCCCATTAGTGGACAAGCCCACTACCTCGGGGACTGGTGACAGTGCCCCAGCCCGAGATGATGCACATCTGGCCAGGCTGGGTGCAATGATCTGCCAGGCTGATGGGCTTCACTTTGGGCCCCAGGGATGCCTGCTCACGCAGCTGAAGAAGCATCAGGTCATGGTTGTGGTCCTCCACATCGCTGCTGTTGTAGCAGGGGTGTGGGATGGACTGAGCCACAGGTATTTCTTGCTCTGGGCCGTCTTTATTCTGTAGGCTGTGGTCTCCCAGGCGTACTGTATATTTCCTGTAATGGCGGGAATAGTTTGGGACCCAGGCAGTGGTATTGAACCCAGTCCCCTCCTCCTTCAGAGCCAGGAGTCCAGTCCTCAGCTTTCTTCTTCCTGAGTCGAAACCCCAGCCCCCTCTTTCCTTTTAGCCCCAGCCGACCTCAGGACCCGTCATCCACTCACGGTTTTTTACAGTGGGCAGCTGTAAGGATCCAGTTGCCACCTATAAGGACACCGCCACAGAGTAGTTGCTTGCCCTGGAACAAGGCTGCCTGCCAAGGCTGCGAATGGGGTCGGCACTCCTGACCCCCCAGCACCTTGTTCTCCTGTGCCCTGGAGTGTCCTGCAGCAGGAGGGAGAGGGTTGGATCGCCACCCTCTGGGGCAGTGCCAGGGCTGGGAAGGCCACTGTGGGTTCAAATGGACACACAGCAAGTTCTCCGCATACAGCTTAGTGAGGGAGGTCCAGGCATCCACACGCTGCCACACAGGCACACTCATTTCAGTCCGTGTGTCATCATACAAGAGTCACACACCACAGAATGACCCCACATGCTTCCACTTGAGTCTACATGCCCCGTGTACTCCCATGTGAATCTATGCCCCCAAGCAAGCAGCCCCCTACAGGCTGTAGGTATTCAGACAATTTACAGCATCACCAAACCTCCTCCTACCTGCTGCTACCTGTTTCTTGCCTCTGTCTACCCTGAGGAAAGCCCACAGAAGCTCCTGCATCATATCATACTCTTCACATTCGTGCACACGCACCCACATAACCACGGCGGCATTCCCACAGACTCCCCAGCCCCACAGCTGCCTTCAGAGCCCTGCCCTCCGGAGGCCTCCGCAACCCTCCTCACCTGCCCAGGCTTCCCCCAGCAAGAGCAGGAACATCCACGTCTTGGCTGCACGAGGTCGGGGGCATCCCATGGTGAGGTCTGGTAAATGGAGAGGGCGGGGCCGGTAGACAGGAAGGAGGAGCCTGAAACCCCAGTTCTGGATTTGGGGACGGGGAAGGGAGCCGAGAATATCTGGAGTTGTTCTGGGCTTCTCTGGAGGAAGGGGGAGGCTGGGGGACCGGATTCCCACATTCCAAGGGAGGAGGGAGTCCTGGATGTCTGGGTCTGAGGGAAAAGGCAGCTGGGAGCTGGGATTCCTAAATTTGGGAGAGGAGGAAGCCGGGGTCCAGACTGCTGGGTCTGGAGAGAGAAGGGCATCTGAGGCTCGGGTCCTGGAATCTGGAGAAGAAGGGTCGGGGGCCTGATGTCTGTGTCTGAGTACCTCTGCACCTCACCTTCCAGAATCCAGGGCCGGGGTCACCTACCGATTCGGACCCAGTGGAGGAGGCCCCGGTACTTCAGTTCTCACTGCCTGGTACACGATTCTGGAGGCTTTTAGCTCGATTTTGGAGACTTTTAACTGGGAATCTCCGCCTCCTGCTCCTCCTCCTCCTGCACTAGAGCCTGGGGAGCTTCTGGGAACTGGAACACTGGGTGTGAGTGAGAAGGGGCGGAGGGGGCTGAATGTGAAATCTTGAGGGAGGAGGGGCTGGAATCTCAGACTTCTGAGGCTAGGGAGAGGAAGGACTCGGTGCTGAGACTCTAGGATCTGAAACGTAAAGGGCTGGGGGCCAAGAATTTAGTTCTGAGAGGGGAGGAGGCTGGGGACCTGGATTCCTGGGTCTGAGGGAGGAGAGGCTGGGGACCTGGACTCCTAAATCTGAGGGAGGAGGGGCTGGGACCTGGGCTTTTAGGTCTGAGCGAGGAGGGGCTGGAGGCCCAGACTCCTCGGTCTGAGGGAGGAGGGGGCTGCTAGGGGCTGAGACTCCTGGGTCTGAGGGAGGAGGGGCCTGATAGGGGCCAGGACTCCGAGACCAGGAGAAGAGGGGGAAATAGAGACTTGCAGAGAGAGGGAGCAGAGAGCTGGGAGAAAGAGGGAGTAGAGGACGAGGGAGAGGACAGAGACCCGCATTGCGATGACAGAGCCAGCACAGAAAGACAAAACCACCCCCACCCCCACCTTCCACAGGAGTTGAGATGCTGGCGCACTCCTCCAGCAGAGCCTGCGGTGCAATTTACCCATCTTGCAGTAAGGCAGTCAGCACCTAAAGGCCCACACCAGACGCCTCCGCAGTGCAGCTGATTTATTACTGAGCAGGGCCACTGGTGGTGGGAGCCTTCTTGTACATGGGGGTACCCACCACAATCTTGCTACCCTGGGCTGGATGGAGACAGAGGAGCATGGTAGCCAGCCTCAGGAGGGCCAGAAGCTGCACCTCAGGGATTCCTGGAGTCAGAGATGAGAGCATAGACGGAAGGGAGAAACATAGAGAAAGGCAGACAGGGATGAGAGATAGCAGGAAGGAGCCACCAGAAAACTCATGCCCAGGAGGTACTCCCATTAAACTAGAGAGACACTTGAGTACAGGAGGCAGGGCCTGGAGGGACAGAGACTCCTGAGGCAAGGGTGTGAAGCAGGAAGAGCAGGGCTTCAGCCGATGTCCGTCCTCCCAGGACGAAGGTTTGAGGAGGGAGGTCTGCACTCAGGACTCTTGGAGAGGGTCAGTGGGGCCTGAGGCAGAGGCCGCTTCCTGTGTCCAGTTTCTCACTCTCTGTCCGGCAGTTCCCAGGGCCACCATAGCAGTAGGATCTGCAGGCAGGAGAAGGCGGATCCACATGGTGCCTCGGCTGAGCCGCCCAGGGCCCGTGGGCAAGTGAGAAGGGCTTCCTCTCTGCTGGAGCGAAAGGAGCTGCAATTCAGGCCCAGCCCTCCTCCCTCAGACCCAGGGTCCAGGCCCAGCCTCTCCTCCCAGACCTAGAAATTTCTCTCTGGTCTCTCCCTTCTCACACTCAAAGTCCTGACCCCAATCTCCTCTCTCCTCATACCCAGGAGTCCAGACCTTGCACCCTCTCAGACCCAGGGGTCCAGGGTCCCAGTCCCTCCTCTCAGAACCAGGAGTCCAGACTCTCAGCCTCTCTTCCCTCAGACCCAGGAGTCCAGGTCTCCAGCCTCCTCCTCAGACCCAAAGTCCTGCTCCTTCAGATCTCAGAGCCAAATCTAGGGCCCGATCTCTCCCCTCCCTATGGAACCCAACTTCTGAGTCCTCTAGTTCCTTTTCCCCTAAAAGGCCCCAAATTGCAGACTCCAGGCCCTCACTGCTCAGGGACCGGGAGTGCCTGCCTCGGGAGCAGAGGCCAGGCTCGAGCTGCACGCCCTCCCCACAGGTACGCCTTGATGAAGCCTCTTCTCACCCTGAGAGGATCTGATGTGATCCAAGTTCTGACTTGGCTGGGTACACAGCTGGGCTCTCCAAGATCCCCAGCTGCCTGCTGGGCGGTCCTTCGCATACCACCCCCGCCCACGCCCAGCCCCAGTGCCCTGGTGGGGTGCAGGCAGAGCTGACTCTGGGACACCCTCGCCTGCCTTTGCGGTTCTGGCGCATTCATGGAACTCCTGACGCAGCCAGAGTAAATTATGCCCACTGCACTCTCTCTCCAGCCCTCCTCCGGGAAGGATTGGCAGCCCCTGCGCTTCCCCGCACGTTCTGTCCAGCAGTCCCTCCTGGCTGCTCTCAGGAGTGGGCACCTGGTGCGCTGGGTCTGGAGGGGGCAGGAGCGGGATTCAAGGACCGGCTGAGCCTAGGAATAGGCTCTACAATCCTTTCTGGGGCCTCTCCTGTCTCAGCGTCCGGAGGATTGACTTCTCTTTTCTTCTTTCTTTCTTTCTTTCTCTCGTTTCTTTCTTTCTTTCTCTTTCTTCCTTTCTCTCTTCTTTCTTCTCTTTCTTCTTTCTCTCTTCTTTCTTTCTCTTTCTTTCTTTCTTTCTTTCTTTTTCTTTCTTTCTTTTTCTTTCTTTCTCTTCCTTCCTTCCTTCCCTTCCTCTCTTCTCTCTCCTTTTCTTTCTTCTTCTCTCCCTTCCTTCCCTTCCTTTCTTCCTCTCTTCTCTGTCTCTCTTCTTTCCTTCCCTTCCTTCCCTCCCTCCCTTCCTTTCCTCCCTCCCTCCCTCCTCCCTCTCTTCCCTCCCTTCCTTCCCTTTCCTTCCTTGCTTCCTTCTCTTTCTTTTGGACGGAGTCTCTACGCCAGGCGGAGTGCTGTGTATGATTTCTGCAACCTCTACTTCCTGGTTCAAGCATTCTTCTGCCCTCAGCCTTCCTGAGTAGCTGACACAGGCAGGCACCACTATTCCCAGATTTTGTATTTTAGTAGAGACAGGGTTTCACCATGTTGGCCAGATGGTCTCGATCTCCTGATTCCTGCTGATCCGTTCCACCCCCGGCTCCCCAAAGGGCTGGGATTACAGGCAAAGGAGCCACCGCGCCCGGCTCTGGGTTGTTTTCTGCCCTCACCCTCTCAGGGGTGGCCGAATCTGCATCCCACTCCTCTGGCTTGCCTGTGGAACTTGCTGCTTGATCCCAGTCAGCCTGTAAGCCCAACCCATCTCCCAACTCTACAGAGAAAAAGGTGCACAACGCTTCCCCTAACTCTACCTCACTAATATTTGGCCCTATCAGGATCTATGTTCTCATGGTCATTTCGGGAACTCATGCTATACATAGATTTCCTTTGTATATTATTTATGTCGTGTAATATCTGTATCAAATATTATCTAATAGAACCTTCCTTGTGGCTTCCATAAGAATTTATTGTTAATATTTACTTTTCTTTCTTTTTAACTTTTAAGTTCGGGGGTATGTGCACGGGCAGGATGCATGCTTGTTGCCTAGGTAAATATGCATCATGGGGTTTGTTATACAGATTTATTTTAATCACCAGGTATTAAGCCTAGTGCCCATTAGTTATTTCTTTTCTGATCCTCTCCTTCCTCCCACCCTCCACCCTCTCAGGCCCTGGGTGTAAAATTTGGGGCTGCTGAGTACAACCATCCTGTCAAAAACACATGCACACGCATGTTCATTGTAGCACTATCTACAATAGCTAAGCATATTAATCAACCTAGTCGTTCACAGGTAATAAACCGGGATTAAGAAAAATGTGGTGTTAAGGCACACCATGGAATATGTAGCCATAAAAGAACAAGATTGCCCTTGCAGGACATGATGGAGCTGGGAGGCCATTACCCTTACAAACCAGCAGGAAAACAGAAACTACACGGCAAACTTGCTACTTAAGGGAGCAAATGATGAGATTCATATGACACATGAAAGAGGTAAAGAACCTTTCATTTATTTATATTTATTTTATTTGATTTATTTATATTTATTTATTTATTTATTTATTATTTATTTATTTGAAAGATCTAGTCTTGTTCTGTCACCCAGGCTGGAGTGCAGTGGCGCGATCTCGGCTCACCGCAAAGCTCCGCCTCCCGGGTTCACGCCATTCTCCTGCCTCAGCCTCCCGAGCAGCTGGGACTACAGGTATGTCAGCCAACGCGCCAGCTAATTTGTTGTATTTTTAGTAGAGACGGGCTTCACCTGTGGTCTCTGATCTCCTGACCTGTGATCTACCCGCCTGCCTGAAAGGCTGGGATTACAGGCGTTGGAGCCAATGCGCCCGGCCTCTTTTTTTTAAGACGAATAAGGCTCTGTCACCCAGGCTGGAGTAATGGCACATCTGGCTCACTGCAACCTCCGCCTTCCCGGGTTCAAGTGATCTCCTGCCTCAGTGTCCGAGCAGCTGGGATTACAGTACCATCATGCCCACCAATTTGCATTTTGCAGAGATGGATTTCACCATGCTGGGCTGTGGCTGCCTCCAACTCCTAACCTCAGGTGATCCACCGCCTCGGCCTCAAAGCAAGAAGATGTCATTGACAAATGTACTTCAGCCGGGAGGATTTTGGGCAACGAGCAGATTTATAGCTGCTCTGCCACAGTGAGAAATGGGTAACTGTGTGAGACAGATGGATAAAGTAATCTGTTGTTCAGCTATAGTAATCATTACCATGTATATACACTAGCATTCAATCACATTGCAAGTACTTTAAATACACAACATCATTTTGCAAGCACAAAACTTCCAGCACATTTTAGACTAGTTTTTCCCTATACCGACAGTAATATCCTGCCACCACAGCCTTGCACCGCGCAATACAATCCGTCCCAAACTGAAAGTTTCATCTTTGGTCAGCCCAAACTACAAAAATCATCAACTCCCACAATCCCTGTCCTACCCATCCATCCAAACCAACTACCTATCTACGAAAGCAAATTATTCAGGCTTTTGAGATATAGTAGAGGAATAGAGAAAAATATTCCTGCCTCATAGAGGCCTGCTTTGTACTGTCAGGTCAGTACAAAAATAAGCATATAAAATGGGGAGTTTGTTAGGTGGTTGGGCATGGTGTGAGGGAAAATTCTAAGTAAGGGAAGAGGGTTGGAGTTACTTGACTCCTCTACTCCTCAAGGATTCCTTAAGTATATCAGGAAGGGGTTGGTTGGAAGACTCCTATGGGAAGGTGATATTTGAGCAAATGAAGGAGATGGTGGAGGGATCTAGTGGCTGCTTAAGGTAGTGAGTTCCTAGGTGCTAAGTGGGCCAGTGGGAAAGAATATATAGGAGCATGTCTGAAGTGCTCCCAGCAGACAAAAACCAATGTGACCAGAACAGAGTGACCAAAGGAGATGGGGGGCAGGTGACAGAGGCCAGAAGATATTATAGACTCTATGACATGGGGTCTTGAAAGGTTCTTTGCTTTTATTTTGAGTAAGACAGGACCCATTGTTGGACACACTCCTAAAGTTAGGAATTGACCTCAACCTAAACTAGATCCCCAAAATGGGATTATTCCTCTACCCCAGACCTAAACCTTATCTCAATCCTGACCCCTAACTCAAATTTTTTTTTGTCTTTGAGATGGAGTTTTGTCTTATTGCCCAGGCTGGAGGC